GAAAGGTATGTGCCCCTGTGAGGAAATTGGCCACTCCAGCCGGCTGGCTGCCGAGTCAGGCTAGTCCCAGAGGCCAGAGGAGCCTCCAGCTGTCACATGTGACGCCTCCAGTCCCCAGGGCACGGTGGGGGGGGGTGCCCAGGAGAGAGGACCCCGAGCTCCATCAGGTGGTCACCCTGAGCGTCCGGTCCTTGAACTTGCCCGTGCTTCTTCCTGGTCACCAGGCTGTGGGCGCGAACACCTGTGCGGCAGCCCTACAAAGGCCCCGGTCTTCGTCATCACGGTCACCTGCTTCGACGAGCATGCAAACCCTCAAGAAAAGAACCTCGTTTCACTCCGTCCCATGTGTGGACGGAGCCCTTAGGATTCCCTTTCATAAGCGCCCATCTTACCCATGACTTTCCTCACTAAGAAATGAAAATGTCACTTCAACAACATGCAGACGCCCCCCTCCCCCCCACACGAACCCCTGAGGGAGTTGGCTCCCAAGGGAGAGGCTCCGGGTGCCTGTGCTTCTCCCTTTAAAGGGTCTCTATCCCTTTCTTCTCCACACGCAGGGGTGGGCAGCTCTACCCCCTGCCCACAGCTGTTCCACCATAAACCCTGCCTTCGTGGCAAAACCCGGGTCTGAGAAAACTGATAGCATCGGCCACCACTGCTCTTACATCACCGCCTTTTGGGTCAGAAGGGCTCCATTTGGGCATAAATCCTTCCACATTTGAAGCCACTCTCCCTGGAGGGCGGAATTCCTAGGTAAACAGGTCTGGGCTCAGGGACACTTTTCAAAGACCATGGCATAGGGTTGAAGTCGGCTCCAGGCCACATACCTTTCAATCAAATCAAAGCCACAGCTGCCTGAGGGGCAGCCCCGAGAGTCACCTGGTCCCGCCTTGGAGCAGGTGGGTCCCTGAGCTCTGTCCCCAGGGCCCGCTCAGACCCAGAGAGCAGAGCCGAGAGCTGGTGTCTGAATGCGCCGCCCCCACTCCCTCGCAGGGCCGGTGTCCTCGGGCTGGGACAGGGCAGGACAGAGGCCCGGAGATGGCTTAGATTTGGGGGTGAACATCTCAGGCAATTTCAGACTTCACTTGAGTGAGGGACAACAGGATAGCTTTCCAGAAATCAATTACGTTGTGTCCATGGAATTTAACTCACACAGAAAACAAGGTTAAAGATCACTTATGTAGCACCTTCCTTCTGCAGATACCCAAGCTGGAGCGAACAGCTAGCATTCGGGTCTCTAAAGCCTTTCAAAGACAATAATAATAATTAAAAAAAAAATATATATATATATATTATTGATTTTTTACAGAGAGGAAGGGAGAGGTATAGAGAGTTAGAAACATCAATGAGAGAGAAACATTGATCAGCTGCCTCCTGCAAACTCCCCACTGGGGATGTGCCCGCAACCAAGGTACATGCCCTTGACCAGAATCGAACCCGGGACCCTTGAGTCTGCAGGCCAACGCTCCACCCATTGAGCCAAACCAGTCAGGGCCAATAATAATAATTTTAAAAAAATCAAGCCCAGCCAGCATGGCTCAGTGGTTGACCGTCGACCTATGAACCAGGAGGTCACAGTTCAATTCCCTGTCAGGGCACATGCCTGGGTTGCAGGCTCCATCCCCAGTAGGGGGCGTGCAGGAGGCAGCCGATCCATGATTCTCTCTCATCAGTGATGTTTCTCTCTCTCTCTCTCCCTCTCCCTTCCTCTCTGGAATCAATAAAAATATCTTATAAATAAATAAATAAATAAATAAATCTCAGCAGATCCTGATGGTGTTCCCGCCCCGAGGACAGACTGTTCCGTCTCAGCCACAGCGCAGGTTTCCTGGCTCCTGGCTCCTGGCTCCTGGCACCGGGAAGGCCATCAGCACTTCTCGGACACGAGGGGTGTGCGAGGCCGGGAGGCTGCCATTAACGGGGCAGACGCCCTTTATCCCAACATCACAGAGCAGGGACAGTTGTCAGGATTAACGAGCCGGTCGGGCCCTCGGATATTTGACACTCGCCTCGAAAGGAAAGAATGTCCAACATTAAGTACCTCCCGGGGCCGAAGCGCACACTAACCCCTCTCTCGGAGCCTCTCGACCGCTAATCCCTCAGCACCGAGACCACGGCCCGGACAGACGTGCCTTCTTGGCTGAGACGGTGGGAGCTTCCACCGCCAAGCCGAGCACTTGACCAGGCTGATGTGGGGGAGGGGGGGCTGCTCGGCCTCCCCAACACGTCTGAGAAAACAGATGAAGTCACCAGTTCAGTCCAACAAGCACATTTATTCCCGCAAAACAGCCAAAGGCCGTGGCCAATACTGACTCAACCCAGAAGACATGAAGGTCATTTTTCAACCGAATCCACGTTTCCCCCTCGTCGCGCCCGTTTCTGTCCAGACCGGAGCTAAACAATCCCAACTGCAGTGTGAGGTCGAGTGCGACCGGTCCCCCCCCCCCCCCCCCTAGCTCCCGAGGCTGCGAGGAGAGGAGACGAGGAGACGTCGCTGCTCGGAAGTGTGGTCCTGGAAACGTTAGCTCCCTAACGCACAGGAAACCTCCAAGCTGGGCAGGCTCCATCCCTGTGCAAACACTCGGACTTGTGTAACTCGATAGGATGGCCTGAAAGACTGTGACCACATCGGATCATTTCTAGTTCCTTTCCTGTGCGCGAGGAGACAGAGCAACAAAAACATTCGCGAGAGAACTGCCGGCCACGTCACTGCCTGTGATTTCTTCTAAGACTTCTATGGTCAGAATCGATGAACGGGGCTACGTCAAACTATGACGATTCTGCTCAGCAGAGGAAACCATCAACAAATGAAAAGACGATCCACGGAATGGGAGATGTTCACCGATGATCCAACAGGTACAGGGCGAATATCCAAAACGTAGAGAGAACTCATACAACTCAACACCAAACAAACAATCCAATAAAAAGTAGGCAAGGGCCTGAATAGACACGGCTCTGAAGGGGACATGCAGGTGGCTCAGAGGCATAAGAAAAGATGCTCGATGTCACTGATGATCAGAGATGCAAATTAAAACCACAGCAAGCTGTCCCCTCACCCCTGTCAGAATGGCTGCCGTCAGGGTGTGGACAACAGGGAGCCCTCGTGCACTGCGGGCAAAATGCAGACTGGCGCAGCCGCGGTGGAAAGCAGGATGGCGTTTCCTCAAAAAATTAAAAGTGGAACTGCCATTTGACCCTCGTCACATCCCCTCCGGAGAGGCCCTCCCGGTCCCACCGGGGTCAGCGCTTCCCTGACAACTTGCCTGAATGAAGCCAGTGTTTCCTGGGTGTGTGTGTGTGTGTGTGTGTGTGTGTGAAAATCCCACGGCAGAAAATGGCACCTTCAAAACACAAGCGGGAGAAGGAACCTTCCGGAACTCAGCTACACCGATTTCACCCAAGCCACCGAGACAGTGGAGCACAGGGGGGGGGACCCACGCAAAGTATTTCCCACATCTGCTCAGCTGTGGGAGCAGCAGGCGCACCTGCCGGGGGCAACTCGCTGGGGGAAGCGCGTGCAGCCCAGAGCACGCGGCTCCGGGGCCTGCCGCTGCGCAGGACGCGTGGTCTTCACTGACACGAAGCCCGGGCGTCGGAAGTGCAGCCGCTTGTCCCGGGTCGTTCATAAAACCCAGAGCGGCGTCTCCAACACGGATCCCCTCATCTTCGCATCACACCTTTAGATTCGTCTTAAAAAAAAAAAAAGCAGGGCCTGGCCAGTATGGCTCAGTGGTTGAGCATCGACCTATGAACCAGGAGGTCAGGGTCTAGGGCAGCTGTGGGCAAACTACGGCCCGCGGGCCGGATCCAGCCCGTTTGAAATGAATAAAACTAAAAAAAAAAAAGACCGTACCCTTTTATGTAATGATGTTTACTTTGAATTTATATGAGTTCACACAAACACTCCATCCATGCTTTTGTTCCGGGCCTCCGGTCCAGTTTAAGAACCCATTGTGGCCCTCAAGTCAAAAAGTTTGCCCACCCCTGGTCTAGGGCACATGCCTGGGTTGCAGGCTCTATCCCTAGTGTGGGGCATGCAGGAGGCACCCATCAGCGATTCTCTCTCATCACTGAGGTTTCTCTCTCTCTCCCTCTCCCTTCCCTCCCTGAAATCAATTTTAAAAACTATTTTAAAAAAAGGAATAACAGGGCTTCCACACTCCTCACTTGCTTCCAAATAAAGCAGCTGCCTGCTCCTAACCCCTCACCCCCCACCCCCGCCCCGCCTGGCACCGGGGACGAGGCTATTTAAAGCCGCTGCTATTCCCCGTGTGGACAGCTGGCAGACTCCACCTGTCGCTGTCAGAGGTCCGATGTCCCGAGACCTGGGGACACACAGTCACCCGCCCCTCCTGCTCTAACGTCTGACCTCCTGCAGTGTGACCCTCAGAAGCTGGCTGTGTGACCAGGAAATCTATGGCCAAGTCAGGCGACAGATGTTTCCCGGGCGAATCCCCTGCACCAGGCGGGATGCTGGGTCCTGGGGACACGGCAGACACAGAGCTCGGTCACGTGACCTGCTCCGAGCGTCCCCAGAGCAGCACCCGCCTCGGCCCCACCCCCCCGACCTGCCAACCTCAGGGCCACCCCTGCCCGCCGGGCCCAGGGGTGCAGGGAGCAGAGGCCGGATGATATTCCAATATCAGAGCTGACTGCTGTCTGCCAGCGGGCGAGGACCCAGATGGGCCCCCGGCAGGTGTGAGATGCGGGGGTAAATGTCAGGAAGGACGCTGGAGCTCTGCGGCGCCCCCTGTTGTCGATCCCAGGAACGGGCATCCCTACAGGTCAGGGCTCGCTGCTGCCAGTCAGCCAGCGTGTCTGCCCGCCACCCCCAGTGCCGGCCTCTGACCCCACCGCCCGGCACCTGGTGGACAGCCCCGCTGTCCCTCTCCCTTCCAGACCCTCATCCACCTGCCAGAAGGTTCCCGCGCGCCTCTCCAGAAAGCACGGTTACCGTGCGAGCCGGACCATCCCACACCCCTTCCGAGTGCGATGCACGTGCAGCCAGCTCCGTCTGACTCTTAGCAACGGGCAGAAAGTAAAAATTACAATTAAAAAAAAATAAGACACGGTGACTGTCCCTCAAACCCTATAACTCCCCGCTGAGTGTCTGACGGCCACGTGCAGCCAGTGACGGCATGTGACATGTACCTTCCCCAGGGCTTCACGCTCTGTCCTGTCCTCGGAAAAGTACCAAAGATCTCACTTTTATCCTAATCTTCGTGTGAAAATCTCAGTGGGACACCGTCGCTCCTGATTTATTCTTCATCGCTAAGTGCTTGCTCCGAAGGGGTAACTGGGAGCCACAGACGTAAAGCTCCTGTGGAGCCAGAATGCCATGGAAGCAGGGAGTCCACGGGAGGGGCACGTGCCCCCACGTGGGCAGAGAGGGGCTTGGCAGCGACGGGTTCGGGCCCCGCCCCAGCTCCCACCCCTGGGCCGAGTGCTGGGCCCGTGACTGATGTCACAATCAGACATCAGGGCTCCGGGGACGGGTGTTACTTCTCTCGTGGACAATTCCACGGAGCCCTTCACCCCATTAGGCACAGTCGGGGGTGGGGGTCGAGCATGGAAGAGAAACGGAGTCCCCCTCGGGGATGGGACGCGGTCAGGGTTCTGCAAAACGCCGCCCGGCTGCGGGGTCGTCCGTCACAGACACGGGTGGAACCCACGCTGAGGGGAGCGGGCTGCTCCCCGGCCCCTCGGCAACGGGAGCTGCTCGCATCTTTCCGAACAGTGGTCTCCGGAGGCGCCCGCTCTCCCGGGAACGAGACAGGTCGCGCCCACGTGCCCTCCCACCCACAGCACGAGGAGCCCAGGTTTAAGGACCCTCAGAAAGTCACAGGCTGCGGGGATACTGACAGTGTCCTCGACACAAAACCCAGGCTCCTCCTCACAGCCAGCGAGCCCCTCCCCTGCTGTCCTGGTGGGATGGCCGCCCCCCTCCCCGAGGGAGAGCCCCCAGCCGTGGCCTCGCACAGGGACACACCTGAGGGAGACAGGAGAGCAGCTCGTCCGGCCCCAAGTGTCCCACCGGCTCGGCTCGGCTCACGGCTCGGCACACACTTTGGAAACGGGCCAGGAAAGCACCCAGAAACCCCGAGGCCGCGTGCCTGTGCACAGAACGTGAGCACCAGGCGGCCGCAGTTTGCCGGTGTCCCCCTAACGCACCAGCTTCCGTGGGCCCCACACAGCACTGTGGGCCCACAGTCCACGTGTCCGCCAGCAGAGCCCATGGATGGAGCCCATGTGTCCACGCACCGAAAGGGCCATCCAATGTCAAAAGCTCCTGCAAAAATGCTCCCCTGTACGAACCTGGAGACAAGAGCCCGCGCAAGGAGGATGAGCAGGTCCCCCCTCGGCAGGCGGCCGGGCGCCCGGGACACCACGCGCTGTGGGGCAAGGCTCCTGCCGCGTAAACACACCAGCCTGGTCCACGGCGAGGAAAGCAGGAAGCCGGCCGGGTGGGGAAGCGTGACATCCTCAACACCAGCCACCTGCGTGTCCCCGACAACCAGCCTCTACAACCACAGGCGGCGAAGACAAACAAGAAAACACTCACTCGGAAACGCCCGAGCTGTGAGCCCGGGGATGGCAGAACCTCTCAGCGCCAACACAGCTCTTCCCTGGGGACTGACATCTACAGTCCCGTGTGCACCGGGGCCACGCAGCTCGCCCAGGGCTTCCGCACAGAGCTCCACGCAGCACAGAACCCACGCGCGGCCACGAGCAAAGACCACGCGGTGACCACGCCACTCACGATCGGCTCCTCGGTAAGTCACGCACACAGCACCGGCACCGCGCAGCCCACGTCCCCGTCCCACACAGCCGGACACGGTGCCTGCCGCGCACCCACCGCCAGGCCCCACAGCCGCTGGCCGCGCCCACGTACCTCCACGATGCGGTCGTGGATCTGCAGGCCCCCGTCCTTGGCCGCCGGCCCGCTGTCCACGATCCTGGACACGAAGATTCCTTCACTGGACGAGCCATCCTGGTGGTCCTGGGATTAAAAACACACACGGTGAGCGCAGGCGCCAGTGGGCAGGCAACGCAGCTCACACTCCAGAAACAGCCCACGCAGCAATGCAGTGAACGCGGTCTGTTCCCCCAGTTTCTGTTCTAAACTGAAAGGAACACAGACGATGGTAAAACAATTCAAACCACAGCAGACGGTACAGAATAAGCCTGGCCACCGCCAGCCCAGGCACCTCGGTCAGCGTTCACACTTCCTCTACACACCACGGCATGTGCCACCTCTCCACTGCATCTGCCCCTCTCGCCTAAGACCATCCTGCATATCAGATATTTACATGACGATTCATAACAGTAGCAACATTACAGTTATGAAGTAGCAACGAAAGTAATTTTATGGTTGGGTCACAACATGAGGAACTGTATTTAAAGGGCCAGAAGGTTGAGAACCACTGCACTATGTAATCATCTCACTGTGACAATAGTGTTTTATTTTTGCTCTGGTTTGCATCAGAAAAGCCATCAAAAAGCCATTAACCACCTCCCATCCCCCCTAATTCTTTTTTTTTTA